TTCTTGGCGGCAGCTCGTCCCTTGAACTCTTGCAGAGATGGAAGGAGGTTGACCAGGAACCTTCGCTGCCACGTTTTGAGCACCGACATCATCGTATTTCTCCTATGTTGGCAGGCTCTGAATGGGAGATCTGACAAAAGTCTTCTTCATTCAGAGGCGGAAAGAACACATAGGTATGGTGTGGAAAGTTGTGAATACTCATTTTGACAACAGCTTGTGACAGGTGTTACGCTTAAGTGTAGAGCTGTCGCAAGCAAGAGCTGCCAGAATTGGTGCTTATGAAAGGCCACCGCCTGTTGACATTTTGCCTTATTATTTGTAAGTATGAAGTATGCGCTTGTATGTTGGTGCAGTCTCAGCAGAGGCTAGAAGAATGCAAGCGAAACAAGCAGGCGTGCCACTTGAGAGTGCCACTAGGTTGTTTGGCAGATTTGATTGTTTTGTCACGCTATGGCTACGGCCTTATCGGAGGCAGCTCAAGCTGCTTTGGCAAAAGTCAGGTCCTTGGAGCCCAATTAGGTTGAATCTTCCTGATGTCATTCTCTCGAACAGAAAGGCCTTGCTCAAGAAATATGTCATGCACCTGGCTGATGAAAGCCGTGTCGAGGCTATGGAGTTGGAGGAAGAGTATTCACCTTAGATTGAGAAAACACTCTGCTCAGACAAGTCCAAAGAGTCCAATACGTCCCTTCTTCGTCTTTTGTTCCGAGGTCAGAGGATGAGTTTGAGACTCAATCTTTGGCTCCGTCCGAGATCGCCCCTTCCGAGGAAGGGGATGAGAAGGTGGCAAAATCCCTACACAATTCCGTTGCAAATCCCACGCTTCTTTGTACTCGCAGGGACGACAGAAGAAGCGTGGTTGGGGCGGAGCAAAAAAGCCGCCCAGACCTGTTTGTCCGCATTGCTTAGTGAGAAGTATTTCAAAGGCACTCTTTTGGATGTGACAGGTTGCTTGGCAAAGGCTTGAAGAAGATTAGAGGCAGCTTCCATGCAAGGATTGATCTACTCTGTTTGTTACAAGAGAATCCAAGTCCAATTGAGGGTATTATATTGGCAAGAAGCAGCCAGGCAAAAGTTCACAAACTGGAAGCCTGACACCTCCAGTTGTGGTGGCCCTTGCTGTAGAAATTTTGAAAGATCCAGAGAGCTTTGCTGCACGTAAAGTTACATAGTTCCTGCCTACAATGTATATATGACCATAGTGTTGCTTCCTTGCCTTCCTTATGTTGTGTCCAAGTCGGTCCAGCTGCTGACTCCATTTGCTTGGGCTTGTTTTTCCGTCTCTCGTCCTGTCCTTCTTCGGTCTGTACTATCGCTTTGATGCTTCATGTATATACCTTGGCCCTTGTGTCTCCGTTCTTGATCACCTTTCTTTAAGTCTTTTGAGGAACCAAGCTGACTTGAGGAGTCTTTCGGAAACGGTTTTCGAGGGAAAGCAAATTCATACAACATGCAGCTATCCTTTTATAGCAGATATTGGCCGTGACAACTCCGGGACAGGTGGGATACCTTGATCCCCATCCAACCGGTTGTGTCGCCTCCGCTACGTGGCATGGCCACCCTTGATGGTGTCAAGCCTGCAAGGAGCTGCTTTCACAGCTCCTTACGCATCTAGAAAAGGCAGAGTTGCAAAACATTGCAGAGTGCTCAGCATTGCTTGCTGCCTCTCGACAATCTGTGAGGGTCCGCAGGGCCCAAACCACAGCCGAACACCCTGCAGACAGGGTGCAAACCTAAACCAAACCCTGATGGAAACACAAGCGAGGCGCTGTGTGCGGCTGGCTTTTATGCAGTTGTGTAGATAAGAGCCTCTGAGCGACTTGCTTCAATTATTACATCATGCATCATCATGCATCATCATGCATCTAAATATGCGGATGGTAGTTGCAGCAAGACTTTCCATTGCAGTCCCAATGAACGCTTTCCGTTGGCTTCCGTGCTTTTCTTGGACTGACCTCATCAAGTTGTGTGTCCACTTCGTCCCTTTGCTTCTTGATTGATTTGTTTGCTTTTGCCCGCGCACAAAATTCTTCATTTATCTCGTTAGAACTTCCACCCTCAAGTGGCACACATCAAGCACATGCAGCACATGCATTGGACACTTCCTCTGGGATCGATGCCATTCAAGGCAACGTCACCGGTCAGCTCCTTTGCATCCACCCGCATGGCGAACAGGACGACATGTGCCATGGCGAAACAATTTCCAGATGTGTACGAAACGTGCAAGGACTCCGTCACCTTCAAGGCGCGCATGGGTTGACGCAACCATTCCAACCCCTTGACTTGAATCCAGGATTGCTGATTTAACACCCCTGGTTCAGTGGCGGTGCCAAATCTGACATTCTCCGTGCTTTTTTCTCGAAGCTTAGGGGTCTTCAGCCACAGTATGGGTTAGGAGCAGCGAGTTTTGGAGCAACTTCCGAAGCAGGTTCCGGAGCATGTGCGCTGCCATGTCATGTCGCCCTACCAAACATGATGTAACGCTGACTTTTGCTGACATGCTAACATGTTGTCATGCTGAGGTGTCATGTTGGCGTGTTGTACATGTTGGCGTGTTGTATATAGTCCGGTCCTGTGGACATGTAGACACGTTAACATGTTGCCTCTCTGATATGTTGGCATGGCATCAGGCCAACAGGCTGTCAGGCTGCCGTGTGTCACGCTGAGATCCTGAAGTTGGGTCATGCTGTCGTGCTGACATGCTGGCGGGCTCCAGAGTGAGTCGCGGAGCAGTTTCCCTGGCTTGCTTGTTGTGGCGTTGTCATGCTTTGACATGCGTCGGCACATGTGCCAGGCTGCTGTGTCGGCATATTGCATGTTGTGATGTTTGGGGGCTCTTGTTGGTGAAGTTGTGATGTTGCCATTATTGCCTAATAGGCGGATGCGTGCCCAGCTATTGTTTTTGTGTGGGCTTTTGCTGTAAACATCGAACGTGCCAGTATGATTTGTTTTTTGGGTCACTTTCCCTTGTTCTGCACAGCTGAGTTTACTTATACAGTTGCAGATCCTGGCTGCAATGTCCTCTCCTGCCTTGCAGGCATGCAACACCTGACGCTGGGGTCTCTACAGGGTATCACTCCTGACTGTTGGGGTTCTACCTTAGAAAAAGAAGCGCTGGCCACACTCACTGGCCGCACCCCTGAACTCTGGCTGGGCTCTGTGGCTAGGCTCTGTGGCTGGGCTCTGTGTCCAGGCCTTGTCCTCCTCTTGTCCTCTGTGGCTGGGCTCTGTTCTGTGTCCAGGCCTTGTCCTCCTGTTGTTCTCTGTGGCTGGGCTCTGTGTCCAGGCCTTGTCCTCCTCTTGGCTGGGCCTTGTCCTCCTCTTGTCCTTTTCTTGTCCTCCTCTTGTCCTTGTCTTGGCCGCGCCCCTGAACTCTGTGGCTGGGCTCTGTGGCCCGGCTCTGTGCCCGGGTGTTGTCCTCCTCTTGTCCTTGTCTTGGCCGCGCCCCTGAACTCTGTGGCTGGGCTCTCTCTGTGGCCCGGTTTCCTGGAGAGGAGTGTGGCCAAACAAATAGTGATGTCAATGCCGACAAAAAATCATTGATGAAACAGTTTGCTCTTGGGGTGAAGGTAGGGCGTGCCAAGAAATTGTTGTTTGACTAATATTGGTCTAAGCGAATCGTCTTGAAGCTGTTTGGGGTCTATGCTGGTATAGTTTTTTTAAAGCCCGCGAGGCCGCCAACGCCAAAGGAGTTAATGGTTCAGGCGCATGTTTTGGAGGAAAGTCACTGCAGTCTTGGACTGTAGCGTCTAAGGCTTCAAGTGATGAGTTGCTCCATGCAGTTTGGCGCCAAGATTCTGTTTGGCACCTTGCCCAATTGAACAGATTGCAACGCAAGGCGGAAGGCATCCAGTCGGCAGCGGAGGCATCCAGCTTCCAGTAACGATTGTATTTGGACCTGAGATTTTTGCCTTGACATGAAGGACTTGGACAAGGAGACCATGAAGTGCAAAGAATATGCGGAGGTCTCAAAACTAAATCTCATCTCATTGACTTCAAACCGGATGGCCTGACCCTTTTCATGTTGTCAGGCGATCTCAGAATGCATGGCAATGCATCGGGGTGGGCCCTTGCGGGCAGCACAAGAGGCAACTTGTCGAGCTGTAGCTGCAGACGTCAAGCTTTCCTGAAGCTATACTTGCTTCATTTACAGGCTATTCGAGAAGGAGTGCTCAAGCTGCAATTCTACAATCAGCCATATCTACGCCAACGGACTTTCCTTTTGAGGTATGCGCTCTTGAGGAATGGGTGGCCCACCCAGCTCACTGGACTGTTTTCCATGCAGAGCTCACTTTTAGTGCAGGTTGTTGTAAATCTAAGGCTGATGAAGTTCAAGAAGCCGCGGAGCGCCACAGACTCGGCACCTTCCCGAAAGAAGCTGCGAAGGTCCTTGAAGGACAGAGCAACACGCTCCGGTTGGATCCATGTGCACAGCAACACAACACTCTTCTCCGTGTCTTCCCTTTTAGTTTCCCAAAAAATCTAGGAACCAAATCAGGAGGTGGGGGGAGTGTCCCAAGGTGCAGAGCTTCAGAGCTTGGCCACCTCAGCAGGGAACCCGAGGTCGATGTGAGACGGTATGGGTTTTGAGCTGAGCTCCAAGGTCGGTGATGCTCCGTCAAGTGACAGTGACCACGAATGGGAACCTGAGGTTTCGGCACATGCCATGATTTCGTCATATGCAATTCTTGAGTCTGTAGGTTCTGTCAAGGCCTTCAGATGAGGCTGAGGCTCTGGATCTGCATGTTCGATGGAGTCATGTGGCCGGTTGGGTGAAGCTTATGGCGATGATTCCAGTAGCGAAGGGAATCGCTACTGGTAGCTTCTAGTTACTAGATGTTTCTAGCAGTAATGCCCTTTGCTACTAGTAGCTTCTTGTTCCTAGTAGCAATGCCAGGAACTACTAGTAGCTTCTTGCTACTAGTAGTATTGCCCTTGTTACTAGTAGCGATGCACCTTGTTACTACTAGCTGCTTGCAAAGGAGATGCAACTGATCCGCAGCCTGATGTGTCAGGGGTCCGCCCGGCCCCATATCGATTGTAGTGACTGCCATGGAGGAGCGCAGCATCGCGGCAGTTGTAGCAGCAGCACGCGCGATGACAGGCAAACCTGCCAGGGCTTCGGATCATGACTTGGTGGAATGGTTCAAAGAGCAGGAGGTCTCCTCCGAACAGGATTTCTTGAAGTTGTCAGAAAGTGCGTGGTCCTTTGTGAAGCATGCTCCCGGGGCTTCATTGGTTCTACTTGATGCACTTGATCACCTCCGTCAAACTCGACCAAAGGAGAAACTAACTGACAAGAATAGTGAAGGTCCCATTCTTCCAGGATCCAAAAGTGTGGTCGAGATGGAAGTCCATGGCTTTATTGGTATCATTACAATGTGCAACGAAAGCAAACGAAATGCACTCAGCCAGAGGGTGTGCGACGAACTCAGCGCGTTGCTCGATCGCTGTTGCGCTGCTGGTGTGCGTGTCGTCATTTTGAGATCATCGCCCGGTGTGAAAGTCTGGAGTTCAGGCCATGACGTTCGAGATTTTAAAAGGGTTGATGGGTCAAATGCCCAAAGTTTCGGCAAAAGCAAATTTCAGGACCCTCTCTCTTGCGAAGACTCCTTTGTGAAGCTACTTGATCGGATTCGGAACTTGCCTGTGCCAGTCATCGGGTCCATCGAGGGCACGGTTTGGGGTGGTGCAACGGACATTTGTGCTTGCTGTGACGTCCTCATTGCAACCCCTCAGACTTCTTTCGCAATTACTCCCGCCAAAATCGGGCTGCCCTACAATCACTCTGGCATGTCTCATTTCATCCAGGTCATGCCTCTGCACATTGTCAAGTGGATGTTCTTCTCAGGGGAACCCATTTCTGCTGATCAAGCCCTCCAGATTGGTTTTGTTAATGACATCGTTCCCATGGAACGCTTAGAGAAGAGGACACAAGAGATGGCGGACATTATTGCATCGCGTGCACCCTTGGTGGTGCATCTGCTGAAGAGGCAGCTTCTTTGCATGAGCCCCCAGCCGTCGCTCACACCTGAGGTGTTCGAGGAGCTTCATGAAAAGCGCAAGAAGACCTGGTCCAGTAACGACATGGAGGAAGGTGTGCAAGCGTTCTTCTCCAAGCGTCCGCCTCACTTTCGGGGAAACTGAGGACGCCCAGCTTTGTCATTTCTTTTCCATTCACAGCCCTCTAAAGGTGAGGGCCATGTTCACGTTGTTCAGGTGCCTCGCTTAAGTGCCTGGCACATGTTTCAGAATGTTTCATCTCTTCAAGCCGCTCAGAAAGCTTGGACAAATCTGTGAAGACCATGAGGGCTTCGATACTTCCGCCATCTTCCGCCCGTTTCTGATATTTCCTTCCGCCCGTCTGATTGTCGGTCTGCCCACAGGTGCAATCTGTGGATTTCTTGGACCAGATTGCAAGGGACATAAAGGCCGTGTCATGTCTCCAAGTCATTCTATTTTGGATAGCTGAGCCTCCAGGCTCTGCTGCAACAGTTGTCGCCTGAACTTCTGCTGTCGGGAAGCCCACTTGGCCCCTCAGTAGGCCCTTGCCATATTTGTTTCTAAACTGTGGTGAGGCGGCATCTGAGGAAAAGAAGCAACAGCTCAGGCGAATGTAGTACAACCGCTGGATGGTGTGGAATCGTTGGGCGAGTGGTTCTTTGGAGAGGAGACGCTGGCGAGAACGCGATAGAGGAGCTGTCGGAGGAGGAGCTCCTAGCTGAGCTGCCACGAGCTTAGCCTCAACTGAACTTGAGTGGAACTCTGAACTGACTGGACTTACCAAGTGGGTCCAAGTGGGTGCCTTAGCCCCTGGCCCCAGGCCTGCCCGGCCTGCCCGGCCTGCCCCTCTTTTTTTGAGAGCCCAGGCAGCACTTGAGTGACATCAACGACAGCCTGAAGCTTTCCGCCCAAAGCATGGGCACCACTGCGATAGCCAGCACCCCAGCAAGACAAGCCACGTGACCGTCGTGACCATGTGTCAAGTTCTCGAGGCCAGCCGACTCCGGCACTTCACTGCTGCACTCGAAAAGAAAGCTTTGTGGCTGGAAGACATGACAGCTGCAGCTACTAGTGCTCGCAGGTGCAAGATGTCTTGTCACGACCTCTGGAATTCTGTCCCTCATTCTGGCCCTGTTCAGGCACTATGGGTCATATGCTAGCTCCTGTCTCGCACTTACACAATGACTGCTGCTTAACATTGTTTGAATTCTCTTTGCTGAGAAGGTTCGTCATCCGCTTCAGCAGCTGCCTCAGTCTCCGTGGATCAAGTCCAGATCCACAAGACACAACCCTGCGCTACAGGGGTCGGAAGCCCTCGGGGCGTGCGGCCCTCGGATGAAACTTTTGAGTTTTTGAGGGGTCTCAGGAGCATATTTTCTGTGCTGAACAAAGGTCGCAGCAGACGAGCTATGCCACTGCATTGGTGCGACACTCATTGTTTTCAACTCCTTGCGGGGTTGGGAAAAGCACGTGCCAGAAGGCAGTTGGGAAAAGCACGTGCCAGGCAGAGTCGGCCGAGTTGCACTCTCCCAAAGCAAGTCTCTCAGGAAGACCAGAATGTGTCGAACGGGTGAAGGGAATGAGTTGAATGGAAGGGTGTCAAGCTCACTTGGCTGTTGCATCACTTGCCTGAGGCCGCTGAGGCCTCAACCGGAGTGGAAGGCCGGGAGCCCAGTGACGGAAGCGACGTAGTGACCAGCGACCTTGTGCAGGAGGCTCAGCCAGACCATCGATGACGGAAATTTCAGTCAACAGGCGCTCGTAGTGATTGTTACAATGAGATCCTTGTTCTCAGTGAAGCCTTCGATGAACATTGGCATCTTTAGCGCTTTACGTCATGGCCAGGAGCCGGGATGTTCCAGAAAGCAGTACAGGTCCTACCGCTGGTTCAGGGATGACAGAAGCCTTAAGTGTTTGAGCACATGCCGTCTGTATACCGTAGTCTTGCGCATTGTCAGGTGAAGCTTTGTCGCCGTCATTTGGGGCTGTCCGAAAAGGAAGCACGGTTGCCTGTGCCATATCGCAATCTGACCCCTTACCATCCAACTTTGTTCAGCTTTCACTTGTGCAGATGAGCTGTCAGGATTTCTGGATGATCCCCTCAGAGAAGGGGCAGATGCTGTTGATGCTGTTGCCATGAACTCAAAAGCTGCAGTGGTTGAGCAGGACGTGGACATCAACTGTGTCGGGTCTGAGGCCGAAATCACGCTGAACCCCTTCGAAGACACGAATCCGTTTAAAAGTGGCTCTGGCTCTGAGCCCACGAACCCCTTCGACACAAGAGAGAACTGTGAGAAATCCAACCCATTTACGACCACCACTTCAGAGGAACCTGAAGGCAGGGGAATAATGCTGGCTCAACGCTTTTACAATTCTTGCAGTCTACACAAGGTACTGACAATCCCTTTGGTGATGTCGAGTCCGAGAAGGGCATCGAAGGTGGCGCGTCGCATGATTCCTTTTTAAAGACGCAAAGGAAGTATCTTCATTTGAGTTGTTTAACCTGTTTTGCTGATCACACTTTTTGCTGTTTGCCGCAATTGCGCAGTGACCATGCTTTGTGTCAGAGAAAACACTTTCTAGCTAGCCACTATCATGTTCTCAACCTATCCTTGTGTTGAGATAATCCCGGTGGAAGGCAGCACAAGAAGAATTAACACTATTACAAATTCCGCATAGCAACCTCGGGCTGTCGCAATGAAGCGTGAGTTGATCTACTTCTGCATGGGAAGTGCGGCAGCTTCGCTGCTCCTGAGCTTCGGATTTGGAGTCTCCCAAAGGCCATCCAAAACCAAAGGCTTTCCATCCGCATGGAGTCTCACCATCCAGCTTCGTTTCAAGGATGTGGCGACCCGGGACGAGTTCTTGCGATTCTGGGCTCCTTTAGCGCGCTATGTCCGTGACGCAGAGCCCTTTGCGCTGCTCTTTGAAGCTGTTCAAAGTGACAAAGACCCACTGCTGGTGATTGTGGATGAACGATACAGCAACAAGGAGGTCTATATGGAGCTTCATCGAAGCAGCGCTGCTTTCCATCAGTTTAGACCACAGATGAAGAAATTACAGGATGAAGGAAGACTCGAAGTTTCGGGCGAGAGTGGATTTGGTATTGGTCTTGACACAATTTGAGCAAGCGCATGATCTCGATGGACGTCTGACAACATGAGGAGTCATACCAAGTTCTGGCATAATATCAGATCCCCATGGACTGGTGAAGGGCAATGACTTATGCCATGAAGCCTGATTGGAGATCGACGACTTCGACTGCCCGGCAAGATCAAATACTCGGCTTTGACCGAGTCTGACCTGCAGCGGAGCCGAAAATGTGTTAAGTGCCACGCTGCAATGTACATCAACCGTGCTGCGTTTGTAGTTCGATGCTTTGGGCAGGTTTTGCCAGCCCTCTGCAAAAGGAAGTGAAGGATCGTCAACAACAAATGACTTTTTGCAAGACATTATGATTTTTGCTACGTCACATCAAGAAGACAGTGATCATGCTGCAACTTTAGCAGCAAGACACCCCCGAGTTATGCTGTGAGGAGCTTCGGTCTGATGTGACTGAGAGTCCCGCTAGTTTGACAGAGGCAGAGTCACCTTTCATCGCTGAAGTCAAACATATTCTTATAAAATTGGTCATCCAAGTAGATCTGAGACACCAAGCCGAGCCACCAAAAAATTCAAACTTCTCAGTTGACAGAGCCTCCGCCCCAGTTTGCCAGGCTTGTGCCTACAGACCTGCCTTGCCAAACAAACCAGCATGTCAATAGCCAAGCAGCTTTTGCGGAATTTGACCATTTTGAATGACTCCAAGAGCATTTTTTGTTTACATGTAACCGTACAATACATTATATAACAAATGCATGTTTCTTTAACCACATATTTGTATATATATATATACATGCACACAAGTACATAAAACAATGCACGTTTGCTTTTTTCTTCACTCAGATGTGGAAGCGCTGTCGAAGTCGGAGCCCAACAGCCAGCCAAGTACACCTCGGGTCACATCCATGACCCCAGGCTGGGGCATTTGTTCATTTGTAGCAGGAAAGTGGTGGCAACGCGCCACAGCTGATTGTTCAGGTGCTGCATCCAGTGTGCAGGCTAGCCTGATGTTGCCCATTGAGCAGTCCTGGTTTGAGTCTCTGTTGGTTTGAGTCCCTGTGAGGTGTGGCAGACGTCTCCTCGACAGCTTCAAAGTGGGCTGGCAGGATGTCTTTGCAATGTGCAGTGCGGCCCCGAAGACGCATGTGACTTCTGCATCTGACTGGATGCGTCTCAAGTTTGAGAAAGTGCCCAGGTCTCCTAGCCAGAAAAGCAACGAGCTTGATGATGAACTGAAGCAGGTCATTGATGCACCAAGTTTGGAGGCCAAACCATTCGGAACACCGGAACACCCAAGAACTTGGCAAGGTTATGTAACAAGCCGCAGTTCAAGCGCAGATTTTTCAAGCAGGCTGCTCTGGCCAAAAGTGATGCAGCTCTCGCGAAAGGCCAGGGATGCTACCGAACCCAGCTAGTATCGGATCTTCCACTGAACCTGTTTGGCAGGCCGATTAGGCAACGGAGACTACTGGAACTGGGATTGGAGAGATCATCTAGCACTGGCCTCAGCCGGTGATCTCATTTTGATGGTTGTCCACGGTCCACGGTCCGCCGCTAGCCATATGAAATGCATATGATCTGCTGTAAGGCGGAGGAAGCGCACCAACTCCTTCGTTACAGCAGCCATTCACTCTCAGATCTCTTGACTGAAGAGGAGTCAACGTGATCGGATGCTGTCATTTTGTATGGTAGGCAGGTGCACGACCGCAAGGACTGGGGATACTTCTCGTATGAGCTGCTGCTTCTATGTTCTGCCCTTAAGCCCCTGAAGTTCTCAGGATCTCTTTGCCATTTTGTGTCCGACCAGTTTGCTAGGACCTGGTTTGAGGTCGAAGCCGACATTCGTGACGTCGTGGCCCCAGGCCGACATCTTCTTCGAGAAGGCCCAGCTCTTGATCAAGTTGCAGCTCTTATCCCAATTTGTCGTGTTCGCCAGGGCCTCAGAAACCCGTCGGAGATTCCTGTCTCCACTACGATGTCACATTTTGTCTCAAGGTTTGGGCATCAATACTCAGCTTCATCACCATATCGTGGAGCTTTCTCGACCAGACAGTGAGGCGGCATTCCTGACACCAATTTGCTATCTTCACCAGCTTGTGGTGCTGCCAGGCGTTCTCTCCGCTCGATGTTCGGTACAGGGCGGCTTTGCTCCTGCGGTGCGCAAAGACACAAAAGAAGCTTGGTTTCTGAGTTTCCTTTTGTTGCAGGCTGTGGTCACAGTGGGAGACATTTGAGTATGCCACTGTAGCAGGTGCGGTTTTGAGCACCATCATCTCATGGAAACATCCTGAAACACCACATTGTCTTCGTTTCGCCAGATCCTTCCAAAGACTGGACAGCGCAGTGGATTTACATGCAGCTGAGAATCCTGAGGGGGAGTCCTGTCCTGAGGGATTGTTACTGTCGGCTCTGTGCCGATGTGGCTGGGACGCGAGGTGTGATTGAACGGGCCATGCAACTTCACCAAGAAGGATGTGATGATGTTGCTTCGTGTCTGGCCCAATATCTGATGCTGTTGTTTGCCTCTGCTCTGAGTGCAATCTCTGGTAGGCAGGCGCTGCTTCCAAGCAATCAGAGAGCTGAATCAGGCCATTTGCATAAGCTCCACTTGTAAGGCTTGTAAGGTTCATCATTCAAGAAATGAGATGAGGGCCTTTTTGTGAAAGTTTAGTCTTTGGGTCCCAATGTACATTCAACACCTTGGAAAATGAAGCGGAGGGATTGTAGCTGGGTTGTAAGTCTCTAGCATTGCAGACCGACTGATGCTTGCAGATTGCGCTCAGTGGTGACTGGGGCCGCCCACAACCAGTTGATAGGCTCGCTTCCGAACATTCTGTAGGCGGGAAGGTACTTGTATTGTAGCACAACCAAGGTGCTTTCGAATACTTAAGTTTACCTAAAAATCTAATCACCAAATGAATAGTGCGAGAGCGCTTCTTCAAGGAAGCTTGAGCTATCCTGCGTCCTAAGCAGTAGCTACTTAAGCTAGTAGCTTCTCCCTTACCTAATTGAATAGCGCCTACTTAATATACTTAAGTAGGGAGGGGGGAGCGGGCTTTAAAAAAGAATCGAGCCGCTCTGTGAGGCTGAGTGAAGTTAGCGGCAGACGTCTGCTGACAAACCTGTGCAGCGAATTGGATGTGGCTCGACCCCGTTCGACGGTCGAGGTTGACGGTTCGAGTCGGTCTATGACGGTTTGAGACTGGATCGCCTAGGTGTTGGCGCCGGGCGAAAGCTGCGGGCCTAGCATCGGCAGCTCGGGAGCCGGGTTGACATCACCATGTTTAGTGTCAACGAAGTGACTAGTGCCCAGGCTGGTCCTTCAACGTGGTTTTTGCAGCTCGAGTCTTCAGCACACTCTGGCGCGCTGCAACTGACAACGAGGCCCTTCCTCTTTTCTCTCCTGTCAGAGCAAATTCGCTTGTTCTTGTGATGCCAAAGGCGGAGGATTGCCTCAGCCTTGATGCTCCCAATGCAGCTGCTGCATTGTCCAAGCCTGAACGGTTCCTCACCGTGCACTTGTACTCTTCAGTTTTCTTCTACACCAGGCTTTCTGGGCTTCACCCACATTTGGCTCCTTTGCAGTAGAAGCCCCGTTCAATTCAGCTCTCGATCAAACGTCACCTGGGCGCGTAAAATGAGGCTGGGAACCCACGCTTTGCTCCTTGCGTGAGTCACTCATTTCGTGACCCTAACAAATCCACCGGGATTCAAAAAACAGACTCAGATTGTGCCTATTGTGCTGTATTTTGTGGACGAAGGTTCCACCGTGACCGAGGCAACAGGTTTGGGCGGCCGCTTTCTCTTCCGGTCGGAGACCCGCTTTCTCCTTCGGTCGTCTTTGCTGGGCCCGTCTGGCTCGTGGTGCTAGGGTTGGGCCGAGGTGCTCAGCTCTCGGCACAAGCGCTGGTGATGTCAGAAAGCATTGTCAGTGACTTCTCACGGTGGCTGCAGTGCGGGGCTCAGAGTTGCGGATCTGAATGATTCTTAGATTATCTGAGTCTATGACTTAAATCTGGATTCAGATTTCTCTTAGGAAGACGCCAGTGGATGCAGCTTCATGCTTTGCCCGGCAAGGTCATGAGCCAGTCACCTGAGGTGTTACTTGGTTTTCTCATTCGTATGACTCTAGGCGTCTCCTCCACCCGCAATCTGCCGCTGGAATTGGTGGTTCTAGACTTAGCCATCAGCCAGCTACTGATTCTGGCAAAAGGTGAGGTATCAAAATCACGGTATCACGGTATCACCCACTCACGCAACCCCATCTACAAACGAGATCAAACACAGGGAGGCTGCACGTTTGCAAGGCTCTATTTGTCTCTTCTGCTGAGTCTGGGCTTAACAGGCCTCACTGGGTTGCTTTCATTCTGTCTCCAATGGATGCGGCTACTGAGGAGCCAACTGGCATTTTGGTACAAGGAAGTGGTTTGTCGTATTCCTGCCAGGTGGTCTGTAATTCGAACTCCAGCATTCGTGAAGTGAAAAGGCTATTTGAGGCAGAGACTGGAATCCCTGCTACTGAGCTGCGGCTTTTTTTTTGGGAGACAAAGAGCTCCGGGATTTGCAGCGACTCGGCAATCTCCAAGGGACAAACTGTGACAGTTCGGTGGAGCTGAGCTTCCTACGGCGCGAGCCAGAGCAAGCGAAATGGCTCGAGGCAGTGGTAAGTGACGATGATGGGAGCTTCCTTGCTGAAGCTCCATCCTACATCCGGGCAGATCGTGAAGTGGTCATGGCTGCCGTGATGCAGAATGGGAGAGCTCTGGAATTTGCATCTGAGAAGCTTCGAGCGGATCGGGAGATTGTGCTTTTGGCGGTGGACGAAGACCCCAATGCATTTCAGTTTGCTTCTTCGGAGCTTCACGCCGACCGAGACGTTATGCTGGCAGCAGTCCAACGCAATGGTCTCGCACTGCAATTTGCCGTCGACGAACTTCGAGATGACGAAGAACTTGTTAAGGCGGCAGTGAGCCACGAGGGTCTTGCTTTGCGCTACGCGAGCTCAAGATGTCAGGCAGATAGGCAAATTGCACTCATCGCAGTAGACAATGATGTCATGGCCTTGCGATACGTGGCGCGAGATCTGCAAGCAGACGCACTGCAGAGCTGAGACACATCGTGTGTTAAAATTACATGCAAATTTTTTTTTCATGTCCAGTTTGCACTTGCCTAGGTTATTGAATGCGCGATGCCCAGGCATGTGATTGATCACCGCAGCATTTGCGGCTGCAAAGCCCTGAAGAGTCCCAGGGGGGACGAAAGCTAGGCATTTAATACCTTGCTGCAGTCGTAGAAAAGCTGCGTTGGGCTTGAGCGACCTGTTCTAAAGTTGTGTCGGTGCAGGGCAGTGAGGCAGAACCAAAAGACATCCCGACCACTGTCGTGAAAGATCGTGAAAGAACCGAAAGCTCCACCGTTTTGTTCCGCCCAAATGAGAGCTGCTCCACGCCCAGGCCAAACGTTTGTTGACGGTGGACTTGAGGGACCAGCTGATCCAGACGCTGAGGGTGCGAGACACTCCAAACGAACCCGTGGGACTGGAACCCCTGCTGTTCTGTTGGCCAGGACTATCGCCGGCATTACGAGCAGGGCACTGATTTCGCATGGATTTCTATGGACCGAAAGAAGCTAGTAGGTTGGAGGCCATTACTACCATTTTTTTCATGTTTGTTCAAGCTTATTCTTTGGCTTGCGAACTAGACACAACTGTGAGGCCTGTGGCCTTCGCGCCAGTCTTGCGGCTCTGGGTTGCGCCCTGTTTGGACGGGCGGCGTTCGTTCCTTCGTTCTGGGTCGCTGCAAAGGCCCGATGCTACAGAGAGATGCGGTGCTCAGAACTGGTCTGAACCTTTGTCAAATTCCGGTTGGACAAGACTTGAGAACCATGGGGATCCCCTTTTTGCATTTTTTGCAGCACGGACACGGATGACAGCATGTCAGAGCACGATATACAACTGAGGCCGGCAGAGATCGACGCACAAGTGAGGTGGCTTGAGATATCTTGACATGGTCGTATTTGAAAGGGGACCCTCCAATACTCCCCCATAAAAGGAGACTCAATTTCGTGGCTTGACGGATTGAAAAGCTTCCCAGACAGGACACAGAGCTTGAGCAGGAGAACCAAAGTCAGATGTGTCATGAGTATTGTAGAATTTTCACATTCGATCGGCATTGTTGGCGTCTTTGAGAGGATCCAGCTCTTTCCGAGAAGGTGCTGCTGCGTGCTTCGATGACGATTTGAGCTGTTTGGACACTAGGAAGGCCCACGCGGCCCAGACCGCTCTGCCCGGAAGGCCACGTTCATGAGAGATGAGGAATCTGAAGAGCTCTTGGGTTTTGCGCTCAGAGTCCCAGTTTACCCTTTCATGCGGCATAAGCTGATTGGTGCTTGAATGCTCAAGGACAGTTTGGGCAATGGTTCGTCAGCAGCTCAGCATATGCAATGTCGGCACTGTTGGCGCCAAGTGTTTGAAGGTATGGGAGTCCAGCAGCAAGGCAGCTGAGACATGACCTGAGCAAGCTGATGCCGAAGTCAGTTAAGTTGCCTTTTCCCTCGGACTGGCCTGACAATGATTGAGATGAAGATGACCCCGAGGCTGGCTTTGCATCCCTTTGACGAACCACCTCAGGCCCTCCTAGATGATTTTTGGTCACACAATTACCCCCAAGTGCCGTTGCAGGTTCCACCCGGCGAAGAGGCCTGGAAACGCTGGTCCCCTGGGTCTCCGGTCTCCAACCTGGGTCTCCCATTCTTTTTCCACCGAGGACTTGGCCCCAAAATCAAGAACTACCTCCAAGGCCGGGGTGCCAAAAGTGATCCACCGCCAAAAGCCAGAAGTCTCTTGTTAAATGCTGACAGTTTCTACGTCTTTCAGAAGGAGTAAGCTCAGTCATGTCTCAAGTCGATAAGGACTCACTGGTGCAGTCCGTCGCTGAGTGGCTTTCCCGGTTTTCTGTAGGCGAACCACTCGGTCCATTGTGCAAGGTGCAATCCTTGCTGGATGAGTTGGAATGCGAGAAGTCCTTCTACAATGAGGCTGGAGTGGAATTGCCATGGAGGTGCATGGTTTTCTGGAACAATCCTTGGCCATTGGCAGTGGAATCATCAGTACAAACATACTTGGCATCACACAAACGATTCTTCGGCTGATTGATAGTTCCAGCATTTTCCCACACCACATTCCGATTCTTTGCTGTACAGCTTCGCTCACTGCTGGATGGCAAACACGTGAAGCCCGAGCTGAGCCTGGAAGGCTTGGGCTGCACAAGGACTTGGCTCTCGGCATTTGTCGGTGGCATCAAGTGCTATGGTGGCAGCAGCGGCTGCCTTGGACATTCTTAGGTTGTGAATGAGAGTGATAGAATTTCCATCATTGCCAGGGGTTGTAGCACTGGCAGGATTATACCGAGAGCGCTTAGGTGAGACCTCGTGTGGAGCGGCTCAAGCTGGGGGTGTGGCCAACGGAGACGCTGGCCGTAGCAGCTTCTCAGGGGTTGTGCTTACTTGGAATAGTCGTTACGGGTCTACTAGTCGTTACAGTGCCATCAAAAACATTTGAAAACTATGGCACCCTGGCACAACATATTCTTCAGATGCTACTTACAAACTTGGATGGTGGAGGAGTCATCTGTGCTGGAAGTGCCACCTGGTGGAGGGCGACTCATTCAAGTGCTGGAGGAGCAAGATATGATCCGCTTTTGAACCTGCCAAGCTTTCAAACCAACATAGCAGGCCTTGGACCGGGAAGCCAGCAGGCATCGTGAGTCTAAAGCGGCCGACTTATCTCCCGTAATGACCGAGCGCTCGCTCGTTACGCAAAGTGGCCCTTCAGAACACTCAGCAAAAAAAAGACCTCTAAGGCCATCTTTGAACCTCTGGTGGACATCCTTGTGCCTCACGTTGTGGCTTGTTCGCACTGAGACGGTCTTCAGTCTGCACCGAGTCTTGGACTAGAGTCTTTCCCGTCTGCACTGAGACTGCGGCGCTGACGCACAGCCTGAACACCTTAGACAGGGACATCACCTCTCATGCCTTGGACGGCAGTCTGAGTCTTCGTTTCTTTCATCAGACCTGCAGTTTCCGCATTGCAACATGCTCTGGCCCGCTGAGACCCGGATGCGATCTTTGTTCCTTTGCAGCCACCAACCACGATCTTTTGCGAGGAGCAGTCTGCCAAGTCGAAGAGTTTAAGCCCAGTTTGCCGAGAATCAACACCAAAATGGCTTCTTTTTTTCAGGATGGAACATGGATGTTCACCACGTTCACCCCGAAAGGGTTGGCCCAGAGGTTTTGATCCATCCCCACAGGTTTTGTTGACAGGCAGTAGTGACACTCTGGAGATTTATCCACGATGCTTTGGATGCTCCCTTGAGCCTGGGCCTCGGTAGCCTCGAGCACAAACGACTTCCCAAACCTGCCTAAAAGCTTTGATCAAAGATTTTTTGCCCCAAAATCGAGGCCTTGGATTGCCTGTGGACATTGTTACAAGCCCCTTCATGGTCTTTCTCAAGGAGGCTTTGTGGGAAGGGACTGAGGAAATCTAGAAGATTTGCGAATGGGACGTTCGAATCGGAGACTTCACCTTATGAATCAGTGCAGATGTGTACCATACAGGAACCTGTAGGCCACAGAGCTTCGCTGTGCTCTTCCAAAAGCCAGCGATGGGCATGTCTTTGTTTCCTCCTTCGAGGTGTTGCCTCGCAGCAGTGAGCGGCTCTTGCGTTCTTGCGAAAAAGGAGAAGCGTTCAGGAGATTGTGCAAGCAAGGCTGCTAATAGGGGCTCCTGGCCTTACTACTAGGAACAAGGATGCTACTAGGGGCAAAGGGCATCGCTACGAACAGAGCAAGGATGCACTTCGACTTGAAGTGACTGAGATGAGCAAGGCCCTGGCCTTGGTCTCCAGGATGTCCAGTCGAGCTGCCAAAGTTGCTGCGGAGCTCAAGTACACCAATTGTCAAATTGACTCGGACCAGGCCCGACTCCGATTGTGAAATCGTTTTTGAGTCTATGGACAGGTAGATCTTTTCAGGGCAGGTGAATGCACTCTGGGTGCAGGAGGAGGTGGCTGGCAAGGCCGATGACACAAAGCGATCTGGGAGGACACAAGAGCCCTGCAAACTCGTGCCTCTCAGGGTTTCTCCCTAATGCAGTGCAACCGAGTTTGTTTTTTTGTGTTTTTGCAAGTTTCCTGCAAACATGACTGGAAACTTCACGCTCTCAGCAGAATTCTGTGCTTTATAAGGAGCAGGAGAAAGCTTTTTACCAGAGCTGACAGAAGCTTCGTGGAAGAAACAAAGAATGTCACGCTTGAGGCAGTGACAGTGGAATTTCATGTTTGAGGGAAAGACATGGTGCAGAGGTGTGCCGCTTGTGAGTATTTTGCATCAGTGGGCAGGCCAATCTGCTGGAAGTGAATCCACAAGTGGTGGTGACATCTGTTCAACAGGCAGTGGCAGTGTGCATGCGTGGGCAGGAGTGCATAAATACACACATACATAACATATTTTAAATTTACAAAAGACAACATACACACATATATATATATATATACATACACACGCGCACACACTTATGGATATGCGTACTGAACTGATAGCGGTGCCACACG